CTGTTGCTGCTGCACCATGCTGTTGCTGCACCCTGCTGCTGCTTGCACCGCTGCCTGCTGATCACTCCTGTTCTGACACAGCCTGCACCGCTTGCTGCTGCTGCTGCACAATGCTGCTGCTGCTGCACCCTGCTGCTCAACGCTCATTCTACTCGCTGCACCTGCTGCACTCTGCCCCTCCCCCCGCCGCCAGGTGAACGCCATGTGCCTGGAGGAAGGTGACGCACGAGGACGCGGTGGGGGCTCTGAAGAGCACCTCGGATCGTGGGTGTACCTCAAGGTGGCCAAGCCCACGAGCCTCTACCTGTCGGACACCTACGGGCCGCCCGACGTCACCAGCGGTCAGCAGCTCACCTGTACACGCACGTAGAGACACACGCCTGTATAGACACACACACACACACCCGTAGAGGACACACACCCATAGAGACACACGCCTGTATAAACACACACACACACAGACACACACACACACATAGAGACACACACCCATAGACACACACACGCGCACACCCGTAGAGACACACACACGCACACCCGTAGAGACACACACACACACACGCACACCCGTAGAGACACACACACACCCATAGAGACACACACACGCATGTAGAGACACACACACACACACCCATAGAGACACACACACAGACAGACACACACACAGACACACACGCACACCCGTAGAAACACACACAACGCACACCCATAGAGACACACACACACACACCCTTAGAGACACACACACGCACACCCATAGAGACACACGCCTGTATAGACACACAGACACACTACCCTTAGAGACACACACAGACACACAGACACAAACACAGACACACACACGCAAACAGACACACACACAGACACACACACACAGACACACACAGACAGACATACAGACAGACACACACACCAAACGACACAGACACAGACACACACACACAGAGACACACACACAACAACAACAACCGCCATTCGCCACTAAGTGGCGGTGACGTCACCACGACGCTTGTGCCAGGCCATGTGCACCTTGAGGCCACGTGAAGTGTCGAACGCCCGCTGGCAGGAGGTCACGGGGCAGACCCAGCAGGTGCCACGGGTCGACTGACCGAGATGACTGAGATGACTGGCTGATGCACCACCTGTGCCCCCTTACTGTGCCAACTTGCTGTGCTTTAGCCACCCGGCGCACACAGACAGACACACACACACAGACACACACACACAGACACACAGACACACACACACACACAGACAGACACACACAGACATACACACACACAGCCCTGCACACATTCAACGGTGCTAGTTGTTGCTAGCCCCCTGGCGTGAGAAAGTAGCCTGTGACCCCCCCCCCCTCCGCACCTGCTGATGCCTGCGTCCCCCCGCCCTCCACGTCCGCCTTTGTCTCCCTCGTGCCCGCAGCCTACCCCCCCAGCATGGACAACCACGTGATGGGGCCCAGCGGGTACGGAGGCATCCACGGCCCCCCCTCACCCTCCCGCTACTCCCCCGTGCCCAAGTCTCTGATGGGCGACGATGACATGCTGAGGTGGGTGTGGGGGGGGGGAGTGGTGGGGTGAGTGGTGGGGGGAGTGGTGGGGGGAGGGTGAGTGTAGGGGGTAGGGTGAGTGGTGGGGTGAGTGGTGGGGTGAGTGGTGGGGTGAGTGGTGGGTGAGTGGTGGGTGAGTGGTGGGGTGAGTGGTGGGGTGAGTGGTGGGGTGAGTGGTGGGTGAGTGGTGGGTGAGTGGTGGGGTGAGTGGTGGGTGAGTGGTGGGTGAGTGGTGGGTGAGTGGTGGGGTGAGTGGTGGGTGAGTGGTGGGTGAGTGGTGGATGAGTGGTGGGGTGAGGGTAAGAGGTGAGTGGTGGGGGGAGGGTGTAAGAATGAGGGACCACTCCAATCATAGTCATCCTCGATGATCCCTGACCCCTCACCCTGACCCCTCACCCTGACCCCTCACCCTGACCCCTCACCCTGACCCCTCACCTCTAACCCTGACCCCTCACCCTGACCCCTCACCTGTAACCCTGACCCCTCACCTCTAACCCTTACCCCTCAGCTTGACCCCTCACCCCGACCCCTCACCCTGACCCCTCACCTCTAACCCTGACCCCTCACCCTGACCCCTGACCCCTCACCCTGACCCCTCACCCTGACCCCTCACCCCTCACCCTGACCCCTCACCTCTAACCCTGTTCCCCATGACCCTCAACCGACAACTCCCCAGCTCTACTACGCAAGCTGCGGTCACCGGGGAGACAAAGGCGGTCGGACGTGGTGGTGCTGTACCCCCCCCCCTCCCCCGTGACGGCCTTCGCAGGCTCCAATCCGCTCGCTGACCGCACTTGCCAGCATTCTGCACGAGGCTACACGGGGGACCTTTGCATGTTGTGTGTGCTCCCCCCCCCCCCCCCCCCCCTTCGCTCCCGGCGCAACCAGCGGGCCGCGCAAGATCGCGCTGCACAAGGGCTCGACGGGGCTGGGCTTCAACATCGTGGGGGGCGAGGACGGGGAGGGCATCTTCATCTCCTTCATCCTGGCGGGGGGCCCCGCCGACCTGAGCGGGGAGCTGCGGCGCGGGGACCAGATCGTGTCGGTGAGCGCGGGGACGTGTGTGTGTATGTGCGTGTGTGCGTGCGTGTGCGTGTACGTGCGTGTACGTGTGTGCTTGTGTGTGTGCGTGCGTGCGTGTGTGCGTGCGTGTGTGTGCGTGTGTGTGTGCGTGCGTGTGTGTGCGTGTGTGTGTGCGTGCGTGCGTGTGTGTGTGTGCGTGCGTGTGTGCGTGCATGCGCACATTACGCAGGACAGCGCGTTACGCAGGACTGTGTTTGTGTGTGTGTCTGCGTGAGTGTCTCTCTGTGAGTGTGTATGTCTGTGTGAGTGTGTGTGTGAGTGTCAGTGTGTGTGTCTGTGTGTGAGTGTCAGTGTGTGTGTCTATGTGTGTGTGTGTCTGTGTGTGTGTGTCTGTGTGTGAGTTTGTTTGTTTGTCTGTGTGAGTGTGTTTGTCTGTTGTCTGTGTGTGAGTGTCTGTGTGTGTGTGTCTGTGTTTGAGTGTGAGTGTCTGTGTGTGAGTTTGTTTGTCTATGTGTGAGTGTGTTTGTCTGTTGTCTGTGTGTGAGTGTGTGTGTCTGTGTGTGAGTGTGTGAATGTCTGCGTGTGAGTGTCTGCGTGTGAGTGTCTGTGTGTCTGTGTGAATTAGCCTTCATAGGTGCTACTCGCTAGTGCCACGTGCCCCTACAGTCTGCGAAGGCTGCAGCATCTCCTCTGTGTTTAGGTGAACGGCATCGACCTTCGAGGAGCCACGCACGAGCAGGCGGCCGCAGCGCTCAAGGGCGCCGGCCAGACCGTCACAATCATCGCGCAGTACAAGCCCGAGGGTGAGTGCGCACCAGCATAGCGAGTGACGCTGGGCAGCGAGTGACGCGGCGCAGCGAGTGACGCGGCGCAGCGAGTGACGCGGCGCAGCGAGTGACGCGGCGCAGCGAGTGACGCGGCGCAGCGAGTGACGCTGCGCAGCGAGTGACGCGGCGCAGCGAGTGACGCTGCGCAGCGAGTGACGCGGCGCAGCGAGTGACGCGGCGCAGCGAGTGACGCTGCGCAGCGAGTGACGCGGCGCAGCGAGTGACGCTGCGCAGCGAGTGACGCGGCGCAGCGAGTGACGCTGCGCAGCGAGTGACGCTGCGCAGCGAGTGACGCTGCGCAGCGAGTGACGCTGCGCAGCGAGTGACGCTGGGCAGCGAGTGACGCTGGGCAGCGAGTGACGCGGCGCAGCGAGTGACGCTGCGCAGCGAGTGACGCTGCGCAGCGAGTGACGCTGCGCAGCGAGTGACGCTGCGCAGCGAGTGACGCTGCGCAGCGAGTGACGCGGCGCAGCGAGTGACGCGGCGCAGCGAGTGACGCTACACCGCACACCGCACAGCGCCCAGCACAAACGCATGACCCGTTCGAGTGGCGTGCATCAGAATTCACACGCAGCTCAGACCGCACTCTCCGTGTACAGCGACAACCCTGCCAGCGACTACGAGCCCCACACCCCCACCTCCTAACCCCCATACCCCGCCCCCCATGTGCCCCCCCCTCTCCTCGTGCCCCCCACAGAGTACAGCCGCTTTGAGGCGAAGATCCACGACCTGCGAGAACAGATGATGAACAGCAGCCTGAGCACGGGCTCCGGCTCGCTCAAGACCAGCCAGAAGCGCTCCCTCTACGTGAGGTAGGCAGAGCCTGGGGGGTGACAACACTGAGGCTGAGTCGACCTAGGGGAGAGACACTGAGAGCAGCCGGGAGACGTGCCTGGTGGTGTAGTAGCAGAGGTCGCAACCGGGTACCCGATACCCGTACCCTACCCGATACCCGACTACCCGTACCCGGCCGGGTACGGGTACGGGTACCCGTTTGTGACCCTGGTGCGGCCGGGTACGGGTACGGGTAAGGAATCAAAACCCGTTTGCGACCTCTGTGTAGTACGAAACCGGCGACCCGGGTTCGATTCCCGCTCACGGCCAACACCCAGTGACGATTAGCTGAACTGGTCCTTGCCCTCCCCTAGGTCGACTCGGCCTCAATGAGTAGCTGGTGTGGTGTGTAAATATCGCCAACGGGGGAGACAAAGGCGGCCGGGCGTGGTGTTGGCCACCCACCCCCTCGTGTGCCGTGCCGGCCTTCATAGGTGATCGCTAACGGCACTTGCTCCTACAGTCTGTTAAGGCTACACGGGGGATCTTTGTCTTTGTGTGGGGGGGAGCGGTGGCTAAGCGAGCCGCACCGCACCAAGAAACCCTGGCTGTCTAAGTTCGATTCCCGCTCACCAATGGCCAACGTCAGCGGCGGTGTTGGCGTGTATCCTAGAAACTAAAACTATCATAACAAGTGTCCTTCACCATCTACATGGCAGGGGCTCGGTCCCATTAGCAGCAGCCACACTTTAACAACTCTGGCACCCCCCCCTCTCAGCCAGTCTACATAACAAAGGCTCAGTCCTTTGTTATGTAGACTAGCCGTAGCTTCAGCCGCACCAAGCTTACCATCATAATATAAAACTCCTATCCAGGGGCCTACCCTGGCTCCTCCCCCCTCAACCAGTATATATACAGGGTCGGATCTCTTGGAATTTCTCATTTACTTGATACAGCAAGCGTGCTGTGACGGTTACACCTGAAGACGGAGGCTTGTGTTGCCTCCGAAACGTCGTGATTTTTATTTTATTTTACTTTTATTAATTTTAATGTTTTACCTACGTGACTTTACCGAAAAAACCCAAGAATATTTTCCTTCAGCAGTTTTCTTGCTGTAGTTGTCTCACCTGATGACGGTTGCTTGTGTTGCGATCGAAACGTCGCGATCGATTAATTGATCTACCCACGCGACTTTACCGAAAGAACCAAAGCGTATGGATCACTGCAGTCACGAAAGCTTCAAATCGAGATTAAAGAGTTTCCAATTATTTTAACAGGTCAAGCCCACTGAGCATTGATGGCTCAACGAAGTGGGCTTCTCGTCGTGTGGAAATTTATATCGGCAGCCAAATGCTCCAAACGCGTGATGCTCATTCTAAATGTGGAGGGAAAACCCGGAGGAAATTGCACGCGACCATGGAGAGAGAGAGAGAGACACGCAAAATATACAGCAGCAGGCGTCAGGGTCGGGAGAACCGACGACTTCCTGTATACGAGGCGAGGTAGTTAACATCTCCTGGCCACCGTGATGATGATGAGAGAGAGAGAGAGTGAGACACGCAACCTCCAAATATACAGCAGCAGGCGTCAGGGTCGGGATCGAACCCACGACTTCCTGTATACCAGGCGAGGTAGTTAACATCTCCTAGCCACCGTGATGATGATGAGAGAGAGAGAGAGTGAGACACGCAAACTCCAAATATACAGCAGCAGGCGTCAGGGTCGGGATCGAACCCACGACTTCCTGTACACCGAGGCGAGGTAGTTAACATCTCCTAGTCCACCGTGATGATGATGAGAGAGAGAGAGACACGCAACCTCCAAATATACAGCAGCAGGCGTCAGGGTCGGGATCGAACCCACGACTTCCTGTACACCGGGCGAGGTAGTTAACATCTCCTAGCCTACCGTGCCGCCCAGGGTGGCTATGTATGTATCCCGCACTTACGATTTCACGCACCTCTCATTAGCACGCTTGGCTACATATGGTGCGAAATAAGTTCAACATATAACAATATGCAGGAACTCCTCTACTTACGAACATTCGACTTACGAACTTTCAGAGATACGAACAAACCTGTCCCTATGTCCAGTTGCCTGTTCGTACCGAGAGGTGTAGGTTCAACTGCCCTGCAACAGATGGCGGTGGTGGCATCTACATCTGCAGAACGTGAAGAACCAGTGGCGTCTACATCTGCAGAACGTGAAGAACCAGTGGCATCTACATCTGCAGAACGTGAAGAAACGGTGGCATCTACATCTGCAGAACGCTGAAGAACCAGTGGCATCTACAGAACGTGAAGAACCAGTGGCATTTACATCTGCAGAACGTGAAGAAACAGTGGCATCTACATCTGCAGAACGTGAAGAACCAGTGGCATCTACATCTGCAGAACGTGAAGAACCAGTGGCATCTACAGAACGTGAAGAACCAGTGGCATTTACATCTGCAGAACGTGAAGAACCAGAGGCATCTACATCTGCAGAACGTAAAGAACCAGTGGCATCTACATCTGCAGAACGTGAAGAACCAGTGGCATCTACAGAACGTGAAGAACCAGAGTCATCTACATTTGCAGAACGTGAAGAACCAGTGACATTTACATCTGCAGAACGTGAAGAACCAGTGGCATCTACATCTGCAGAACGTGAAGAGCCAGTGGCGCCTACATCTGCAGAACAACATGAAGAGCCAGTGGCATCTATATCTGCAGAACGTGAAGAACCAGTGGCGTCTACATCTGCAGAACGTGAAGAGCCAGTGGCGTCTACATCTGCAGAACAACATGAAGAGCCAGTGGCATCTATATCTGCAGAACGTGAAGAACCAGTGGCGTCTACATCTGCAGAACATGAAGAACCAGTGGCATCTACATCTACAGGAGATTATACAACTTTTAAAGCCATTCTCCGTGTTTAGCGTGCATTCCGTACAACATGTTTGGAATCGACGGAGAGTAAAGTTAGACTTACGAACAGATCGACTTACGAACAAACCTCTGGAGCCTTACTCGCTCTTAAGTAGAGGAGTTTCCCCAGTATACGCACACACGCGCCCACCTCTCCAAGCGCGCACCTGGCCTGACTCCCCCCCCCCCCCTCCCCTCGTGCATCGTGCAGGGCGCTCTTTGACTACGACCGCACCAAGGACAGCGGCCTGCCCAGCCAGGGCCTGAGCTTCCGCTTCGGGGACATCCTCCACGTCGTGAACGCCTCGGACGACGAGTGGTGGCAGGCGCGGCGCGTCACCCCCGACGGGGAGGGCGACCTCATCGGGGTGGTGCCCAGCAAGCGCCGGTGACGATGCGCGCACACGCATGGACACGCACATGAATGCACGCACGCACTTGCACGCACGCACGCATATGCACGCACATGCACGCACTTGCACGCACGTGCACGCACACGCACGAACACATATGCACGCTGATGATTCTGGTACTGATGATGGTAATGCTGATGATGCTTATACTGAAATAATAAAATAATAAGAATAAAACATAATAAAATATTATTTTATTATTTCCATTCTATGTGACTTTACCGAAAGAACCAAGAACATGAATCTCTGTAGTCACGAAAGCTTTAAATCGAAAAATGCTTATACTGATGATTGCAATGCTGCTGCTGATGCTAATGCTGATACTCATGATGATAATGCTGCTGCTAATGCTTCTCATGCTGTTGATGCTGATAATGATGATGGTAATGCTGCCGCTGATACTAATGCTCATACTGATCCTGCTGATGATGCTGATGATTATGGTAATTCTGATTCTCATGCTGGTAATGCTGCTGCTGATGATGCTTATACTGATGATGATGGTGATGCTGATACTGATGATGGCAATGCTGCTGCTGATGCTCATGCTGATACTCATGATGATAATGCTGCTGCTAATGCTTCTCATGCTGTTGATGCTGATAATGATGATGGTAATGCTGCCGCTGATGCTAATGCTCATACTGATCCTGCTGATGATGCTGATGATTATGGTAATTCTGATTCTCATGCTGGTAATGCTGCTGCTGATGCTAATGCTGATTATGCTGATACTGATAGTGATCCTGATACTCATTATGGTAATGCTGCTGCTAATGCTGATGTTGATGGTGCTGCTGATACTGATGGTGCTGCTGATACTGATGATGCTGATGATGATCATGGTGGCGGTGTACGCAGGGTGGAGAGGAAGGAGCGGGCACGTCTCAAGACGGTGAAATTCAACGCCAAGTCCAGCACCCTGGACAGCAAGGGGGTGAGACACACACACAGTTACACACCCGCTCACACAGTTACACACACATACACACAGTTACACACACACACAGTTACACACCCGCTCTCACACACACACAGTTACACACACACACAGTTACACACACACACAGTTACACACCCGCTCTCACACACACACAGTTACACACCCGCTCTCACACACACACAGTTACACACCCGCTCTCACACACACACAGTTACACACAAGCTCACACAAAGACAAAGACCCCCCGTGTAGCCTTAACAGACTGTAGGGTCAAGTGCTGTTAGCGAGCACCTATAAAGGCCGGCACGGCACACGAGGGGGTGGGTGGCCAGCACCACGCCCGACCGCTTTTGTCTCCCTAGTGGCGATGTTTACACACCACACCAGCTACTCATTTGAGGCTGAGTCGACCTAGGGGAGGCCCAGGACCAGTTCAGATAATCGTCACTTGTGTTTGCCTCGAGCGTGAATCGAACCCGGGTGGCCAGGTTCTTAACGCAGCGCGCTAACCGCTACACTACCGCTCCCACACACACACTGACACACACACACAGTTACACACCTGGTCACTCACACACACACATGCCTTACACACCTGGTCACTCACACACACACACACGCCTTACACACCCGGTCACTCACACACACACACACGCCTTACACACCCGGTCACTCACACACACACACGCCTTACACACCCGGTCACTCACTCACACACACACGCCTTACACACCCGGTCACTCACACACACACACACGCCTTACACACCCGGTCACTCACACACACACACGCCTTACACAAGCATGAACGCCCCCAACGCACACGTCCGCCCGCCCGCTTTCTCTGCTCTTCTTCTTTCACGCTCGCTGGACCACAGGACTACCCCGGGTTCGGCGATGATGCCATCCGGTCCAAGGCACTCCGTAAGTTGAGCTCCCCCTCTCTCGCTGGTGGTGGCGGTGGTGGTGGCGGTTGTGGTGGTAGTGGTGGTGACTGCCACCGCTAGCAACATCACCACGGGTCCGCAGTTGACCAGAGCTCACCGCTGCTTGTTCCTTTATTGCCCCTGAGTTGCGTCTC